CGGCCCAAGATGACATCTCGGTCTACTCAAACTGAAGCTTCAGTCAAGTCCGTTGGTATGTCATTTTTGCTATGATGATACTGTTCCTGCCTTGAGACAGACAAAATATTTTCTGTTTGCTCTCCCAACCCTATAATCCATTTCACAAGTGTCTGCAGTAAAGACAAAGGCATAGGTGTGCAAGGCATATGCGTGCAAGCCTAGCTCGGTAGTATGCTTTTGTTTATACAATGACTTGTTTGTAAGAGGCACTTTCTAAAGCCACATGCTTGTGCCCATGTTTTTGTCTTCACTGCAGATGTTTGTGAAATAGCGTATAGACATGACACTGACTGAAAGCATGCAACTGCATTTCACCTTTGAAAAGGTGCATGACTGTACAGTGAAGATCATGCTCACTCCAGTGAGCTCTGCACGAGTAAGAAATGTGAGCAGCAAGCACTAAATAACTCCAGTTATATCATATGAGATCAGGAAAGTGAAAAACAGCCAAACATTTTTTTTAGTGCCTTAAAAATACCCCTCGCCTCCAATTTTGTTAGAGGTATTGCATAAAGAATAGGCAGCAATAAAAACTATGATTGCCTAAAGAGAGCTCACAAAACAAACATCAAAAGGGCGAAGTATGCAGGCGTATGTTCAGGGGAAGACCATTCCGATCAGTGATAGCGCATAAGAAAAAATTCTTCGGAAAGTTTGAGAAGAGAAATACAGGCAGGCTGATCAGGAAACATTATAATCGAAACCCCGAGACTAAAATAAACGATGCACCACAACATTTTTTCTATTACTTCGTAGGTTGCGATGTCTGTGAAGTGACAGTCCATGCTTGGGTCATCATAATACAGCCAATATTGGTGCACATTGGACACGGCACGTCCGGCGAACAATAGGGAAGATTGCACCAGGGGGTTTCAGAACAGTGTTTCTTCACCACAACTCAATCCTAAGCATCCCACTCTTGCAATGTTATATAAAAGAAACCACCACCTCAGTTGGGACCGCAAAATCCTGGCTGCACCTAAAAAAAAAAAAAAAAAAGTTTTTCCGAATAACGTTTTTTTTTTTTTAATTCGTAGTACTCTAGCTCGTGCATGCATACTTACCACTGAGAGATGTATTTGTTATCTGCTTCCCAATAGCCAATCGAATATACTCTTTGGGGCAAGTTTAAGTACCTACGGTATTCCCAAAGAATAGCTGTGCATCTAATTGTGGCTCGGGTTCAGAACTGGTTGAGTGTGCAATTTTATACTTGGTTTCAGCTTGATCCCGGACGCAGCCGACACTACAAACTAAAGGGACGAGTCAAGAGCACAAGTCACTGGACCTTTTCTGTTTATGATAGGTTCATTGATGATAGAACACGTACAGGAACAGTATGAACACCATGATGGTGCAATTTTGATGCTGTCTGATATGTCCCATTACGTTGTAGTATGAGCTGCGTCCTCGCCACAGAAAAAACTAATCAATAACAATGAACCCCTGTGTGTGTAAGAGGTTGAAAATTTCAGATTTACCATATCTTCATAAAGGTTTTTATTCTTTTTCAGAAGTGCAAGCCAGTTCGCTGTGTGCTGATGCAAGCACAGAGACTGAGAGCAGCTTTTGTGCAACCCATCCCTCAATCGATGATGACATGACAAGCGACGAAGACCCTGACGAAACAGGGGAATCCAGTGGGGAGGGCTATGACTCCAGTGATGACTACGACCCCTTTGAGGGTTGTGAAGACAGGTATGAACCAAAGGCATCAAGTTCAAGCAAGACAAAATCATTTCAGACATAAGCCTACTGTTTTGTGGGGAATGTTCTCAAGAGACCAGTCTGTATACATAATGCAAGACTGCTAGCACAAACAACTGATTGCCGGTACTTTCTGTTTATGATTTCTTGTACAGCTAAAAGGCTGTCATCAAAACTACTAGTGAGGTAGAAAGTACTCATTTGTGGTTCTAGCCTAAGTCATAAAATTTAGTGTCCACCAATACCCTTTTGAATTAAAATAAGATAAAGCACTGACAGCCTGTTCGCTCTGTGTCACACAGTGTGTGCAGCAGTTGGTGGCTCGTGTCAGCGGGTCAGAGTGTCTGACCATTTAGTGAAAAATATGCCTGCCAGAGAAGCATATCATAAAGTTAGTGAACTATGTGCTTGGTCATCCTCTATATTATCTTTTACTGTTGTTTGTATTGTATTTGCACTGTGTTAGAAAGCATCGAGAAGCAAAGGGTCTGTCTCTCAGATGAAGCAAGAAGTCGGCGGAGGGTATCACTAGAATAACCTAGCCGCCTCGGTGGCTCCGATGCGAAGCGCCAGCCTACAGATTCCCAGGTGGCAAGTTTGAATCCCAGCCAAGATGCCCGCAATCTGACGGGGGCTTATCGCGGAAAAGAACGAGCTTTCGGTTGCACCTCAAAAGATCCCCAGGTGGTCAAAATGAATCCTCAGTCCTCCACTGGGCGGTGCCAGATGCCCATCACTGGTTTGGCATGTAAAACCCCCAAATATTACTTCAGTTGATAACCTCACCAATAATCTCTTTGATATATTACAGCCGAAAGGTTAAAACTTGCATGTCTTCATTTATTGAGATAATGCACATCTTCACAGGTGTTTGAGCCTCGAAGCTTTCACGTACATGCTGAAGTCTGAAATTGAAAATTGGTTGGAAAAACTTTGATTTGAATGTGAAGTGAGGTGCAAAGTGCATCTTAAAATTTTTAACCTCTATTTTGTTTGCATTGCAGTTCCAATCAACCAGAAGCTACAGCTGATTGCGGCCGCATATTCTTGGTAGCAGAAAAGCACTTCAGGGAGCTCTTCGCGGTGTGCCGAGAATGCCTTGCCAGCTGCCAAGTCAACATCGAGTGTGAAGGAACGGTGGTGAAAGTCTACACGCAGTGCCCATCTGATCACCGGGGATACTGGATAAATCAAGACGTGATCCACCAGCAGCCTGTGCTAAATCTCCTGATCGCTGCAGGAATCCTGTTTGCAGGGTGCAACCCTAAGGCCTCACTTAGGATCCTGAGCAGCATTGGTGTCCAAACAATATGCGGCAGGACATTCTTTAACTTGCAGCAGACTCACCTTTTCCCAGCCATTGAAAGAGTGAGTATCTTTATGCCCACAGGTTCTCAAGCATTTTTATCACAAGAGGCACCTCCCTTTTTTTTTTCCGTTGGTAGCCGAGGAACTTATTCTGCTCTCAGTATTTTTGAAATTGGGAGCTTATTACACCTAAGGGGGGCACGCCACTCCACCTTGGCAGCTGGTTGGCAGCATCACCAACAATACCATTTGTGTGAAGTCACATGCTGCTGCCTGCTCCGACCTCTTTGAATGGACCTTCACCTTCCACCTTCCTGTGGCCGTGTTTCTCCAATTAACTCCGGAGTGAAGGTTTCGCACCTTGGTATTCAAAAAGCTACCACGTCCAGCATAATTCTGCATACAGGGTTCGCTTCTATACTCGCGGTCAGCTTTCTGTGGCAATGTGAAAAGAGGAGAATAGCACGTCTGCAGCGGTTGGCGCACCCTCTCCCCTAGCATTGACTGCATTGCCACAGAAAGCTGACCGTGAGTATAGCTTGGGTTCAATCATGTGTCCCGCAGCTGTATACGGCAACAATGATAACACTCCACTGTTTTTCATTTATCTGCGCTGGCATATGGCTCTACCAAGCACTTGCGTGTTTAAAAATCCGGAGTCGCTATAGGACGACATTCACTAGTGTCAGTGATCGAAAAAATCTACATGGAACTTATTTTTTGCTTATCTTATTATCAGGTTGCTCTTAGCTCGCTGCAGACCAAGTAGATGTCCTGGAATTGATATGATCACAGCTGTTTTTGCCAGTGCATGGAGGGGATCCATGTGGTCAATTTCTATCTCTAATCTAAAAGAAGTTAATGCCAACTGTGGCTCCGCACATTTTGTATAGCACTGTGCACAGGTGAACTTACATTGATTAGAAACTAAGTTTGGCTGCAACATACAGTGGTTATGCAAAATGCTTCTACTAGGAGCCACACTGGCTGCACTGTCTTGCTGCACACTTTTAATAAAGCAGTTCATAAACAAACAGACTTCATATATAACTAGGGGAGGTTTCGCTTATAGTTATGCATTAATAGGTGACATATTTTCTGAAATGATGCTTACATTGGGAAAAAGTTTCTAATGAGGGGTAGGCAAAACCCAGTTTGTGAGCCCATGCTCCAGGCATTTGTTGAGTAAGCTTAATACCTTCTTCATACTTTTATGAGTATTGAATGCCACAAAGTAGGTGCCATATCTTATTTTGTAGGTATGGACCCAGGACCAAGTGGCATTGCTGAACGAGGCAAGTGCCCGTCCTGCCAGGCTGGCTGGAGATGGCCGGGCTGACTCGCCCGGTTTCAGTGCAAAGTTTGGCACTTACTCGCTGCTGGACCTGGACTCGGGGAAGATCATTCATTTCGAACTGGTGCAGGTATGTAGATTGCATCTCGTTTATTTTTGCTCTTCTGTTGCACATGACAGTGTAACAGATGCATCTTAACTGCGGGTTTCTGGTAAAACACTGAAGTAAACCTTTACGTCTTTATGGTAATACTTTGGGTTAGACACACCACCACAGCTTATCTAATGAACCAGGTGCATCAGCGGGGAAATAAGGTGAACACACGGGAAGGTGAAGGTGAAGCATTGTCGGAGACTACTGATGAAACAAATAGTCTTGCACTTATATGCATCATTGCACGAAAACATGTTCATATTTTATAGTGACAGTAAATGCATTTCTTTTTAGAGCTAAAGGAAGCTGAAAGCCACCCTTTAAAACTGACTCCACTTCTGCTAGGCTTCTCCTGATTAAAGAACACATCTATGGCCATGTTCAGGGATATGATATTTAGTGCCAAGTTTCTTTGCATTCTTTTTTGTCTACTGAAATGCAGTGCATACAATGTAATTCTATTGACAGTCCAGTGAAGTTGGTGGGAGCGGCCGGATGGAGCTGGCAGGCCTCAAAAAGGCCTTGATCTTCTTGGACTCCCATGGCGTGACGGTGAAGCTCCTCGTCACGGACCGCCACGTGCAAGCAAAGGCATTTATGAGGAAAGAGATGCCTCACATCGTCCATGAGTTTGACGTCTGGCACGTGGGAAAAGGTGATATTTCATTTTTTATTGCTTATATGCACCGGTACTGAAATGTGACACATATTACCGACATCTAAGCTTCACGACTTTTGCTTTTCTTTTTCCAAAAGAATTTTCGGTCTCTTTTAAACAGCAGTTAGGATGATATCATTTTTCACTTTTGGCAGTAACTGATCTTCCAGACTGCATGAGCAATGGTTAGTGCCTCTGGGACTGCACTGCATTAGTGTCAGGGGGAGTACACGTATTTCCAAAGAGGGGGGCCAGCATATCAGATGCCTAGGACCCCCCCCCCCTTTTTTTTTCACCGCCCTAAAATTTACACAACAGGAATTTAAGAAGAGGGTGAGGACATTTGGACCCCCCATTGAATCTGCCACCGATTAGTGTACTTCATGGCATCGTCACTATCAACTTTTCTAGAAGCATACACAAATCAAGGATGGCTTTTGTATTGGGAGAACGTATCTGCAGTGCAAGATAACAAGCTTTAGATATAAAGTTTATTTAGTGATCATAATAAGGCACACCTCAGGTGGTTCTTTCTATCTTTCCATTTTCAGGGGTGAAGAAAGAGCTTCTTGCCGCTTCAAAGACTGCAATCTATGCTGAGCTGGCGCTGTGGAGGAGGTCTGTGGAGAACCACCTGTATTGGGTGGCAGCCTCAAGTGAGGGGGACCCCAGGATGATCGTCCCCAAGTGGTTGTCCATCCTGAACCATGTACGGGACATCCACGTACACAGTAATCCTCTGTACCCAGCGTGTGCTCATGGAGAGCTGGAGCCTAGGGAGTGGCTTGATGATGGTGCGTATACATCTTTTAAATATGATCCCGGCTAAAAATTCCCGTGAAATCTAATTGGAATTCCAACTGGTTTTAACTGAAACTGAAACCAATTGGTTTTAGTGGGTTCCAACTGGAAGCACACTGGCTAATGGGTCTCACCAATTGGAATTTTTTTTCCAGTTGGAACCTGAAAGGGTTCCAAATGCTTCTCGTTGGTTCCCATTGGCAGTGACCAATTGGTTGTTCAAAAACCCAATTGGTACCTATGGGAAAATTGAAATTGGAACTTAATGGGAATTTTCGACCGGAATATGACTAAGTGCGCCACAGGAGACTTTGTGACAGTGATTGCATGTTTTATCCCACACTATTGGATTTCCTAGACTCACCAACGTTCGAGAAGCTTGCTGCAATCATCACCAAAAGGCATCTTCTAGCAGACCTGCCACAGCTCTCAACCCGCTTCCAAACTTACTCGCTGGAGGCATTCCATGGGCTGCTTATTCACTACTGTCCGAAGTCCTGCCAGTACTCAAACAAGGGAATGAAAGCAAGGTAACTTGCAACAATTGTTGTCTCTTGGCCAAAACAAGAGGAATTTGTTAGACTGCCCATCTCATACAGTAACGAAAGAGGGAAGTAAATATGTCCTGTGGTACACTCGTCACCTAAAAAAGCATGTTCTGCGCATAAGTCATTTGCTGAGCAAAATAGTTCTTGCAAGAACCCACTATCAAAGAAAACAATGCTTTCTGCCTTTGAAATGTGTGAATTTTGATAAAGTAACAAACAATGACTGAATTCACACCATGAAGGCGAAACTAGTATGTTTGCAGAAACACAGTCCTTGTTTATTATGGTTTTTAATGTTGTAAAGAGTGCATGAAATTAATAGTGAGTTTGTTTCACTGCTCTTGTGTCCACGCATGGCCACTCGCAGAGTGGAGCGAGTTCGTTTCAGCTGGCACTCCACGACGGCTGTACAGTACTACGAGTTAGTTTCGGCGCCGGTACTTTATGCAAGCATGTACTCACTGTATTGAAAGAATCGAACGTGTGGCCAGAATGCAACCCTGTCATGCATGACTTTGGCGAGGAACGAGAACAGACGGCGAGGAATCGTCTGCTACATGGTGTCATTTGCTCCTAGCTAACCGAAAAAAGTGGACTTTCTCTGATAATTGCGTTCCGCAGGCGATAGATTTAAACATGAGCTTGATTTATGAGTGTCTGCTATTTTATGACGAAAGCAATCGACAACTCATGCTTCATTCCCAAGTCTTTGATTCATTTTGTTATCTATTGGTGGGTAAAGAAAAGCTTTGAACAAACATCAGCAGCTGCGAGATCTCTCTCACCATGCATGTGCGGGTGAAATGTTGGACATTTTTCAACAACGCTTGCCATGCAGAAACCTGTGATGTACATGTCCAGTCAGCAGCCAGAGAAAGCTGAACATCGGGAATTTTCCCGAGGCTTGGGTAAAATCACCATGTTTAACAGTGACCTACACCAGCTATCGTCATATTTTGTTTGAGAAAGCTCTCGTTCACTGCCCTCACTAAGGTAGTCTTATCCAGCTGTATATGACGATTGAAATCAAAGTTGCTGCGTGATGTATTGCTGGAGATTCCAATGAAAGCTGCAACCTCTCAGAGGTTGTGGCTCATACATCTCCACGACAGTACAGTTTAAAGAAATTGCAAATATAAACTACACATTGCAGCGACTGCATTATTGTGTTCCCACCTATCATGGCGAACAGCAGGACTCTAGTTTCATTTCAAGTCTGTGCTCTAGCTTATGGTGCCTTGAACATGTTTCCAACTGTTGTGTGTACCGTGTCCAATAGGTGGTCCCTCGATTTCCACCTGGTGATGTCGCAGAAGTGTTATGCTATCACCTGCCACTGCAGCGGTGGTGGGTGGGGCAGACTCCTGCTCTGGTGCTAGTCACTCTCCGGCTTGACAGTTCATGGAAGCTACGGCGGTCAGCAGTTGCAATGCTGTGATGCCCGACGTTCTTAGATAATAATAATAAGAATATAATAATAATAATCATATATTTATTTTCAATAAAAATATGATGAGGGAGACTGAAGAAAAAAACTGCTTGACCAGTCCTCGGCCCCTCTTCCTAGAATGGCAGCAGCTGGCAGTTAACAAGCTTTACGAAAGAGCGGGGTTCAAAATAAGTTCTTCTCTGTTGCCTGTACACAAGCAGGTATGAGCAGATAGCATTCCTAGCGCCACCAGTGTTACTGCCTATGGTGTGTACTGGCAACAAAAGATTGTTTTCGAACGACTCCTTTTGCGTCGACTCTTGTGCAAACTTCATGTTTACCGTAAAAACCATAAGCTGATAGTGTAGCTGGTGCCGCCGAGCGCATGCACTACGAAAAGGTGCCCAGTGTTGTAGGAAGCTTGTCAACGAACTTTGATCTAGTAACATTGGTGACGGCAGCGACACCATTTTTATCGAACTTCTACGACCAACCACCAGGATCACAAATCTGACAGGACGACACTCCTGCTTTTGTGGTGTCATCTATTGCCACTTCGAGACCACTTTTGATGCATAAGCAGAATGGGACACTAAATACACCAGTCGGGGACGTGTTACAGGCACCACACTCTTACTACGGGATAGATAGCGACAGCTTCAATCTACATTTGGTGCCCTCGAAAAGTTAGTAAGGACCGGCTCTCTGCGCAGCACTCTGCAAGTGCGATGCATTCTGGGAGAGGAATTGCACGGTGCTAGTGCGTGTGGAACAAGCTCACTACAAGTTTACTAAAATGTGACTTACTATTATAGGCTACCATTTATACATTTTATTTCTAACCTTTCAATAGCTGCTTCAACTTCAAACTTTCATTGAAACTCGTCTTGATTTTTATTTAGTTCAAACTGCTCGTTTATTTCAGGACCATGCTGGCAGTGCTTCATTTCAACGAGAACAGGAACAGAGCACAGGCAGTCACAAAAGAGGGCGTGGAGCGCTTTAGGGTGAAGCACCCGAAGGCAAATGGAGGAGAACCAGTAGCAGTACCGGAGAAGGAGGGGCCTACCTATGGTGTGTACCAGGAGCCTTTATATTGAACTGTGTGCATGCACAAATCAACCTATATTATTTATTGCTGCACTTGCCGGCAGCTTTTGTACAGAGGCAACCACGCAGTGTGCCATCTCTCAATCTGCCTGTGACTCTAGTCGCAAACAGCGAGGTCGGCAAAGAGGAGCTTCAGCTGTCCTGTTTGCAGTGCGAGCCTTCTAGACCGTGTTCCAAAATTTACTCAATCTTACTCCAGGGTAAGGGTTTTGTACCTTGGCGTCCCAAAACCTACCCGCGCCCAGCGCTTTTCAATCTGTGTTGTCGCGTGACACGACCCGCCAGAGTAACTCGGATCCATTTGGGTAAGATTTCGAATACCGCCCTAGTTTCGGTAACACTTCGGCATCTTGTACATCCATGCACAGCCAAAGCATTGCAGAAGAAAGCAAGTGCACACTGGAGGCTGGTAATTCAAAAGAGATGGCCTGTTCTCACCTTGTCAGGCACTATGAAATGATAATTCATTTTTAAGACGCACTGAAAGGTTTTATTTTTTCAGAATCAGGGAAAGTCGATAGACATGGCTGTAGTGTTGTTGGTAGAAAGACTATTGGTAGTGGGGCAGTTTGTTGCATAAGGCACTTCATTTTAGGGAAATTCATTGCAGTTGCAGTTCGTCACACTACTGAAAGAGTTTTGTTTTTCCGTGCAATTTCTCTAGCGCAGAGCATATTGCCCGCACATTAAAAATCACGGGCAAGGCACTATTGACACAGATGTTTTGGTGTTTCTTATTATAGCTGGTCGAATCGCTTACTTAAACGACGCTGTCTGATCTCCCGGAACTCCAACACAATCTGAAAACGAGTCGTCCCAGTAACTAATAGGAAGACAGTGGCAAATATGCAAGTTTGTCTAAACAGATTTCTTTAGAAATGGTCATTTACCTTATAAATGAAATGTTTCGGGCACACTCCTCGAGGATCTCTGCTGTCTGTTCCGTCACAGCATCAAAGAATTGCTTGAAGGTGCTTGCGACGTGTTTCTTGCTTTCTCGGCTACCTTGTCGAGACACTTGCGGCTTAGCTTAATTTCATTTCGGCCAGTGCCTGCTCTTTCTTGAGCGACTACAGAAACATCCAGATAATCGGTGACGCACAACTGACATTGCTCTGCAAATTACATCGACACAAACTTGCATATTTGCCGCTGTATTCCGATTCATTATTAAAACAACTCATACTCAGATTTTGTTGGAGTCCTGGGAAGTCAGACAATGTTTATTGCGAAAGTAACAGCGATTCGACCAGCTATTCTAGAGACTCCAAAACATTTGTGTCAAGAGTGCCTCACCCAAGGTTTTTAGGTTGGGAGCAATATTCTCGGCTCTATAAAAATAGGACGGCAAGACATAGCCTGGACGAGCTGTCGCCACCACGAATGGGCCTAAGACGAACTGCCCTGCTACTATTTGACGCGCTACGGATTGTCTTTGGAGAAACTGCCCGTGGCCCCATACACACATTGATTGTCATGTCCACAAAAGGGGGCTTCATAGAAGCGAGAAAAACTTGTACCAATTTGATTGTTTAGAACCATATAGATTGCCATGTTCCTAAAAAAGGACTCAATTGAAGCAAGTCGAAAAAAAGATATCGATTCTGTTAAAACGTTCACAAAAGTATTGGCAGGAGTGACTGTCAACACTGCTCTATGGGGCTGCTCAATTGCCACCAAATTTTGCTTTAGGGTTTTAGTTTTTTCAAAGTTCACTTTTCTTTCAATATGGGAGTGATTTTTTCCCCTCACAGACTCAATGTCTTTCTGTGTCTTTTTTTGTGTTAGAAACAAAAATTTGAATTTACTGAGGCCTATGCTGAAGCACTCTGAACAGAGGCATGGGACATCTCAGCATCCAGCGAACATGTGGATGACCCTGATATGTACTTGAAAAACATTTCTACCGATGAAAGAAGTAAATGAGATGAGGGTTTAATTCTCGGAAAGAAATAAGCAGCCAGCCAGGCAGGCAGTTCAAAGCGAGCGTGGTTCCGGGTGAGGACAAGATAAAGCTGTAGGTTATGATTCCTTTGAGTGAAGCATCGGTTTTTCTTATAGAAGGACAGCTTCGATTCGAGGTTTTTCTGTATTGACGGATTGTGATAAAACTGACTCTGATTACTTTTCGGGGTTTATCGGTTTACATCAAAAACACAAAACCACATTATGTTGCACTAAATTATTTCTTCCAGGCTACATAGCAAGGCTCCTTGAGGCAGTCCAGGAGGGGATGCAGAACAAGGCACTCCGTGCCTGTGTTGCCATGACTGCTGACGACCCACCGCCGCTCAGCAACTCTGCAAGGAAGATTTCAAAGGTGGAGCTGGTCCAAAAGCACAAGACAAGGTTTAACAGATAAGGTTTGTTTCATACACTGTGAACAAGGTGCAGGATTGTGAAGCTTGTCTCTTTTATCCCTTCAGTACCCATCTCGGACAAACACTGGAAGATTTTTGCCGGTGTGGCTGCGGTGTCTGGGTTCCACAAGATGGGGGGACTCCCTCCTACAGGCCCACATTCCTCTGCGACCTCTCCTGCCTCCTGATGGCGTGCTCCAAGTCTCATCATGTGCACCCAGCTAACTTCAGGACCTTCAATAGTACCTGTCCAGCTGTGACTCTGTCAATGAGAAAGGCACAGCCTTGCATCTTGCTCATCCTCCTCTTTTAAAAATTTTGTTATCTCGCCATTTTATGTTTAGCACCGATTGTTCCCTTAGCATTTCAAATCGGATCAGTTTATGTCGCCACACCATCACAGACGTGACGAGTGAGCGAGGGAAATAATCTACAAGGTTGCAGCCTGGTGGGTCCCTACCCCCGGCCTGAAACAAAGGGCAAAGCAGTAGTGACACACATATACACAGCTAGCACTAATGTCACTTGACCAAACGTAATGGGGGAAAGGGCAGCTTCCGCTGTGTTCACAAGATGCTTTTGGCCACCAGAAGGAGGGTCAGACTTGGGAGAAGGGGTTCTGTGGGATCACAGTTTCCGCTGTGTTAACGAGGTGCCTCTGGCTACCAGAAAGAGGGGCGTACTGACGTCACGTGCAAGTCATGTATAGAAAACACAAATGAATGAACTTATTTCAGATTCAACAGAAAATATTTTGCACTTGAATGCCTGCTCAAGGTAATTAAATTTATAAAACAGGATGATTAAAAAACATTTTTACACATTATTTAGAATTGTATGAGCATCTTAACATTTCGAGAAAATACGGTGTTCAAGAATGACGGTATTTTGTGACTCAACCTTTCTGTGAGCCCAACATGTGGTGGTTCACACTTGGTGTATAAGTGTTGTCTATTGTTCTCTGACATAGCTTATTATTGGTGCTTTAGAAAAAAACTGCATACCTCATACTTTTAGTAAGAATGCCTGAAGCCAGTGTAGGTGCCGTCGTCAGACGGGTACTTGCACCTTATCCTGTGGAGCACACAGCTGGGGAGTATCCGTCGGTTCCCTTTTCCCAGGCGTTTCCATGTAAGGAATGCAAACTGTCTGTACGCTGTGTATCGCATCTGGCTGAAGAGTGAGGAAAAGAAAGTATTAGAAACAATTTTGTTTTGAAGAATTTTTATATTTACCTTTTTATTGGGTAGGACGGCCTGAACCCGTCGTGCTTTCTACTTGCCAGAGCTATTCGAAGAACTGCTTCATTCAGGCAAGCATGTTTGAAATTAGGCGTCTTTGTTGTGCAGCGCTTGTTTTTTTGTTTTGCTATTATGGCTGCTACCTCCTGGCAGCACATGGAGTCTTCCTCTCCTTCCATCGGGACACATTCCCCACATGAGCACCTGTTGAAATATTGAGAAATAAAGAGCATGTGGTATACTCTTGTCAACTGTTTTTTTTTTTTTTACGAGGCTATTTTTTTTTTTTTTGTGTTAGGAGTCTGTAGAGGCGTGTCGGCCAGAATTCTTGAAGCGCGTATGCCTAAAAAAAGCGACGAATTTCACTCGGCGACGTTCACCCTGCGCGCGGCGACAAAACAGCTGTTGTCACCGCGCGCAAAGCGAACGTACTAACGGGCGAAGTACATTTTTTTTTTTCCGCAAATCGCTCCCAAGAACTATTCTAGAACTGCATTTTTACATTTCACTCAGTTTACCGATGAAGTATTAAATTTGAAAGAATCCGTGGAAGGCCGCTAACGACGACGAAACCCATGGCGGTGCTCGGAGAGCCGAATCTTCGAAAGAAACTGGCCGAACTGACTGCAGCGTGCACTACAACCTTTGGACTCGGATGTGCGCGGGAACCACAGTTACCGCACCAAACACGGGTGGCTTTGATACGCGAGTGCTCTTGCAACGGGCGAAAATAAAACGAGGGAACTGCATCCGTTTTTTTTTTTTTTTTTGTGTGCCACATTGAAACAGGACGACTGACTTTTAAAATGCCAGTGTGGTGGAATGATCTAGAGTGCCTCAATGTCCTGATGCCACATGTGGTACTCAATGCAGACAGCACGCGCTTACAAGGGAAATAAGAATAGCCGGCAGCAAAATGCCACCACTGTCAGTGCCAAGAGCTCGTGCAGGAAGACGAGATTTGACGCGCTCCAGGACAAAAAAGAAACAAAAGTAGCGGGAACGATATGGCCAGATGTCATCACTCTAAACAAAGCGCACATGAGAACCCAGAATACGTACCAGTCTGTGTGCCCAGCACGTGCGGAGCCGGATATCTCGGTCTGTTGTGAAGCCAGCGGCCCCGCTGGCTCCGCGCTGCGCGTCGTGTCCGCGCGCGAGTCCTTCCTTAGCTTTGCCAAGGGCTCAAAGGCGTACGGGGTCACGCAGAGGGTCCTCGGAACACGAGGTTCTTCTTCAGTACCCACTGATGTCCTCAAGTCTTCCTCCATGCTCGAAAACCTGTGTTGAATGCTGAACCGCCAGGGTAGCTCGCCAAGCGACAGCAAAGTAGAATCGCGCCTGGTCCTTTTATGACGTCACGGCTCCACCAGCCAATGACGTTCCGCGGCAGCGAGTGGCTGCATGTTTTTCGATTTTTTTCCGATTTAGCGTTGTTTTGAGGACAAATGATGGTGATATTTAGATTCCCCAGGAAAAACTACGCCGGGAAGAAGCATTAACTCATTTTTTTTAAAAAGCGTTTCAGCTTCCCTTTAAAGGCCCGTTCACACTCTTGCAACCGAGTGCGACCGAGAGAGACCAAACCGGTTTTTAAGCCTCTTGCGATCTCTTAGGACCAGCTCCGCTCAGTGCATCCGGTCCCAAGAAGTCTTTCTCGGTCGTACTCGGTTGCAACAGTGTGAACGCGCCTTTATACTCCCAGTATAAAAGGCTCTGATCCGGTTGTCCCAAAACGAATGTGGTAAAGCTTGCTTATATAAGAAAAACAAAAACAAAAAACTCTAGAGCAAAAGGACAAAGAGCGACTGAGAGACACGAAGCTCGAAACTCAACTTGAAGCCTACTGTCAAAATTAAAAAGTGACAATAAAAAATAAAACGGCTACCAACGAACAAAAAAAGGGTCGATATAAATTTCAAGAAAAATTGTCGGCCTTGTTGGCGTTCCCTCAGAGCACCATTGAAGCTAACTAGATTATGCTTCAAAATAAACAAAACAGGAGAGCATGCGCACAAAAAAAACAACAACAAAAAACATTCATACAAACATGTGGGATGCGCTACATCGGTAGTTTAAAATATCAACGACAGATGGGCGTTCGTACGTATGTAGCATGATAGCCCCACGTGCAGAATCCCTGTGGAAGCTTCAACCAGCATTATTCCAATGACGGCATGATTACGTTACACACGCTCGCCTGCCCACTTATTGCCGCTTAAAGGGCCTCTGACACGCCCCCCCCCCCCCCCCAATTTTTTTTTTCTTGCTAGGCGTTAAAATGTTGTATCAGGATATCACCAAAGAATTCTTTCACTTTAGAGTTGCGTAGATTCTTTATAAAAAATAGAAATACGAAGCCAATTCAAAGTTCCCGCCAGTGCACTGTGGCGTAACAGTGTACCGCAAGAGGTCGGGACGGTCAGAAGAGAGGCATCACTGGAAGTCACGTGAGCTGTCTCACTCCTCGTGCTTACCGCGTCCGCGCGTAATATCGTTTTATATTTTTGTTATTCTCCGCACCTGCGCGAGAAATTCAAGCATACAAGGTTTCTTTATTTGCTTTTCATCGTTTAATGAGCCTGTAACGGTAGAAGAAGAGGAGTCAGTGAGCCTAGTCAACAAGTTCTGCTCATGTTCTAGACAAAACACGTACTTTATACTCGACGTTTACTTGTACTTGGTACACTCACCAGCTCGTATTCTCTAGACGGTACACATTTTCAGCCTGGAGAGTATCCGATGATTCGACGACCTCGGTGTCTGAACCTTCAGCAATGCGATCGGGCGTGTCGTATGCTACACCTCCTAATTTCTGCGAGCGTTCTAATTTTTATTTTCAAAACCTGGTAGCTTGTTTTGTCCCCAGTATAGCTCTGTACGATCGGACTGATGGCATGCACTCCTGCACTGGCTTGTGCTCGCAACGCTTTGATCATTGACCTCCATCACGTCAACCTACTGACTATTCGTCCTCAACTTTTACAGCGCGCAAACTAACAAACGGTGTAGTGATAAAAAGCTAGTGGAACTGAAACTTCGTTTTCTACAATCGCTCGTGGAGAAGACAAAAAAAAAAAAAAGTCTTAAGCACGGTCGTGGGGAGCACGAGAAGCGACACTCACGTGACTTCCGGCGAACACAATTTAGTGACGTAAGTCAATGCTTCCCTTCTGACCGCTCCGACACCTTGCGGTACACTGTTACGTCACAGGGTACTGACGGGCACTTTGATATTTTTTGGCGTGTCAGAGGCCCTTTAATTAAAAGCAAAATGCTCCGCCGTCACGGTGAGGACCCGGCCACCTGATCTGGGGATTCGCGTCATTGGCTCCTGATGAAACTGGCCATTTTAAGGCGGGGCAAAAGGGCAATGTGTCAGTCGTGGTCATTTCACACGGAGCTTTTGTCATCGGGTGCTTTCGCGCACCACCCGATCGTACGATCATCAACATTCTGTAAAGCGGTCTCCTTCGTGGAACTTCGAAGTCCACTGTAATAAGTGTTCGTGTGATCCTTTGCTGGATAAAACACAGGTTCCGGGGAAGTAGGAACCCAAAACAGAGGAGAAATTTTTGAGGCGTTCAAAATCAGTGTAAATGAGTATGACGGTTGCATCAGTGCGTCGTCATTCGTTTCATCAAATAAGGAATTCAGGTTCATTTGGGGTGAGGTATAATAAAGTGTGTATATAGGTTCGTTTTTTTTTTTTTTTCAAAATAAAGTTTAGTTGTTTGTAGCGCTCCGAGTGTGCACGCCTACTTCTTTGTGCTCATTTTCTTTGCGTCTTTAAGTATAATAGCGAGTTCGTTTCACAACACTCGTGTCCACGTGTGCCCACTCGCGGCGTAAAGCGAGTTCGTTTCGGCAGGCATTCCACGAGTGGTTGCACTCTCCGAGTTCGTTTCAGCGGCGGCAACCCTACGCGTGCATGTACTCGCTGCACCGAGAAAATCGGGCATGCGCCAAAGTGAAATCCCGTCATGCCTCGC